AGCTGGACTTGTTAAATGTTATATTTCTTCACAGAAAGATGAACTAGACAGGGCTACCCTCAGCCAATTGTATACAATTAGGCCCTAATAACATGAGACCTCAAGACTTTATGGAGAATCTAGGGTGATAGACTAGGAAAGGCTAGAGCAAGGAAGATTTACCTATGTGGCTAAGAGAAAGCCACATATATACAGAAGGTGAAGAGTTTTCAGTGTGATTGCTTTTGAGTCATCAAAACTCCTGTCAGTAACCTCTCACCAATTCTTTGTAAGTAAGCCCAATAAACTCATTGGTTTCCCTGGGGGGAACTCTGATGAAATGGGAGTTTTAATAAATGGAAATGCTAGAAGAATATCAACATGGACTTTGTTTCAGTAAAGAACAGAGTTTATATAGAAAATTAAAATGTCTACATGTTTCCAGAATGGAAGACTAGATAGACTACACAAGTTATGAAAGCCTGAGTAAGATATTTAAGGTCCATAAAGGTTGACACTTAGAGATAATGTATATGATAGTAAAGTTTCTAAGGTCAATGATCAACAATTACAAGAACTAGATGAAATGTATGTCTAATAAAAGTTTATTTAAAGTGTCTAAAATACAATACAGTAGTTAAAAGTAGTTGATAGTTAAAAGTTAAAATATTATACAGTAGTTAAAAGTTTTAAAAGTACCAAACTGGTATAATTGATCTTCTAGATGTTCAATAACCTTAGTTGGAAGCTTATACTAATGTGATCAGAAGACTTTAAAGGGAGAATATCTCCTCCTTGCCCTCTAAGGTAAATTCTAACTAATGTCCATTCTAAGAAGAGGAGAGTCAAGACAGAAGAAAAAATTCTGGCATACATAGCCTTAAACACCCAGCAGAAAAGTATAACCAAAATAAAAATGATCAGTATATTTGTTTAACAGTACTCAAATACTATACCTAACCATATGAGATGTTATATGGAGAACTATTTCTCACAAAATAAGGCTTTTCATATATATTTTTTTCATGCATAGGCAAGACCTTGGATTAGCTCCACACTGCAGTATCTACCTACAGCAAAACACACACACATATACACACACCTATCTTCTTTTTTTTATTGGATGTTTTATTTACATTTCATATGTTGTCCCCTTACCCCATCCCCCTCCCACCCAGGAACCCCCTATCCCCTCACCCCTCCTCCTTCTTCTCTGCAGATATAACCCCTACCTACCTCCCCACTCCCACCTCCCCACCCTCAAATTCCCACCCCCTGGGGCATCCAGCCTTCATGAGGTCAAGGATCTCTTCTTCCACCTATGCCCAGCAGGGCCCTCCACTTTTACTTATTCAGCTGAATCCCTGGATCCCTCCCTAAGTGCTCCCAGGCTGGTGGTTTAGACCCTGGGAGCTGTGGTTGGTTGGTATTGTTGCTCTCCTGATGGGGCCACAAACCCTTTCAGCTCCAATGGCCTTCACTCTAACTCCTCCATTGGGAACCCCATTATCAGTTCAATGGCTAGTTGTGAGCATCTGCCTCTGAATATGTCAGACTCTTGCAGACCTCTGAGGAGACATCCATATCAGGCTCTTATCAGCATGCACTTCCTGACTTTTACATCAGTATCTACCTTTGGTGACTGCACATCACACCTATCTTCTTAAATGTTATTATTATGCCTTTCTACACTCTAATCACACATTTTTCTCAAACTGAAGGAGACTACTAGATACCCCATCATCAAACTCACAGGTTTGGGGAAATTATTCAAGGACTTATATCCTTGGGACATTTCTAGACAATCTCATAAAAAGGAACCAACAGGATTTCATTTCTCTCTTTTCAACTAGATGCTTATTTTAACTGACTTCCTTCACAAAGTTTCCAGGTACTCGTTCCTTATACAGGAGACTGACATAATAAACTGCTGATTACATGGTTACATAATCATTTAACAGGACTCTGGTACAGGACAAAACAAAATTAGTCTCACTAATACCTATGATAAAGGCTACTAAGTGTTCTTTAAGTGGTTTTCTCGCCTATTCTCATTCTCTAATAAGAGAAATACTATCCCAACTATTTTTAAAGTACTTTCTCAGTAAGAATTCTAATAGTACGAATAGTCTCAATGTTTGTATGTTACAGATGCTACCTTGCTTGCAAAGCATGTTCCAAGGATGCATACTGTCATTACATGGCTTCCTTATGTTCTGGATTTTTCCATCTGTTAAGTTTTATTATGGCCCCTAAGATGGACCCTCCTCTTAGGCACTCCAACTCCTGCCTCTTCTACACTGCCCCTTTTTCTAGCTATGAAGCAGTTAAAGTGTCTGTGCCCTGAAACTTCTAATACCAGTTAGGTTCAGATCAGCTTGACATCTTTCAGAATCAAATTGATTCATCTATTGCAATGAGTCTCTAAAATTGAAAATAGTTAGATCTCCTGACTAGTGAAAATGGAAGGATTTGTGCCCTTCTCCAGGTGTAATCTTGCTTCTACACCAGAAGACTCAACCTGGTTCAAGACAGAGTCCAAAGATGTAGGTACCAGACACCCCTCCCAAAAAAATGGGCTTTTGTTCTCTCTAATCCTGGCTCTTCACCTTAATCACTCCTTTCCTCCTTATTATCCTCATACATATATTTTTACACTGTCCTTTAAACTATTTATAAACGTTCCCCTTGGATGGAATCACAGCTATCATTAGATCCACTACATAGGATAAATTAAAAACAATGCTTCTCATAAAGTCACTCCAGACCAAAAAGCTTCTGAAAGAAGCCCCTTCTGCCAGCACAAAGTGGCTGGACAGAAAATAGTTCCTTATATCTCTTATATGTAAAGTTATGAAATAAAGGAAATCACCTACACTGAAACCAGGGCTATGAAACAGGCCAAAGGCTTTAAGAAGCCTGATGCCCAAGGAATTCTAGAAAACAAACAACCCCCGTAGTGCCTTGGAGTCTGAAGGTCACAGCAACAGTCACTATGACTTATCTCTCTGCAGTTTACACAAAAGGGGCAGTTTCTGAGCCAGTAGAAGTCAGTCCTATGGTGAGAGTTTTGGTTTCTTTAAAAATCACAGACACTAACTAACTAACTAACTAAGTCATCAAAGGTGAATAGAGAGAAGGAACTGGGTGGAAGACGGGGTGGGGAGGGAAACAGGGAGGAAGAGAGAATGGATATTGGCAGGGTGGGGGAAGGGGCTCATCTCCAGAACTCTAGACATTCCAGAGACCTGGGATGAGGGAGGCTCCAGGAAGTCTATGTGGGTGACTCTAGCTGAGACTCCTAGAAGTGAGGGATATGGAGCTTGAAATGGCCACCTCCTGTAGCCAGGCAGGACTCTCAGTGGAGGGATAAGGGTACCATCCCATGCACAAAAGATTTGACCCAAAGTGTGTCCTGCCTACAAGAAGTGCAGGGACAAAGATGGAGCAGAGACTGAGGGAATGTCCAACCAATAAGTGGCCCAACTTGAGACCCATCACATGGTCAAGCACCAATCCCTGACACTATTAATAATACTCTGTAATGTCTGCAGACAGGAGCCTAGCATAACTCTCCTCTGAGAGTCTTTTCCCAGAAGTTGGCTGAAACAGATGTAGACACCCACAGCCAAACATTGGACAGAGGTCAGGGAGTCTTATGGAAGAATTGGGGGAAGAAGTGAAGGCCCCGAGGGAATAGGAACCCCATAGGAAGACCAACACAGACAACTAACCTGAACCCTTGGGAGCTCTCAAAGGCTGAGCCACCAACCAAAGAGCATACACAAGCTAAACCTAGGCCCCCTGCACATATGTAGCAGATGAACAGCTAGGTCTTCATAAGGGTCCTGAACAATTGGAACAAGCAATGTTCCTGACTCTATTGCCTGAGTTCCCCTAACTGGGCTTGCTTTGTCTGGCATCAGTGGGAGAGGATATGCTTAATCCTGTAGTGACTTGATTTACCAGGGTGGATTGATACCCAGGAAGGGGCCTCCCCTTCTCAGAGAAGAAGAGGGGAATGGGGAGGGGCTGTATGAGGGGGGATGGGAGGAGGGACTGGGAGGAGGGGGGGCTGCAGTTGGGATGTAAAATGAATGAATGAATGAATGAATGAATGAATAAATAAATGGAGAAAAACATCATACAAATATTATAAGGATATGTTTTCATTTGAATCCCAGGTGTGAGATATGAGCCTGCTTCAGATTGTCCACAGCAGCTGCCTATGATTTATGTCATGCTATACTAAGGGGCATGATTTTGCCAGCTGTAGATAGTTTCTGTGATTGTGTTTGGAATTCTAGGAACTTTCAAAGGATATATAAATGCTAGCGCCCCAATAGATAAGTCGTTTCTTTGGTAGGTTACTGGTTGCTTGTTGGGTTGCTGTTTATTGTTATTGGTTGCTATTGGTTGTAGTTTGCTAAGTAGTTGTGTATAAAGAAGAAACTTCAAGAAGAAATTAGACCTCCTGATGGCAAAGATCAAACTTTCCCCAAGGAACTCAATGTACCTAATCAGCAGGAAGAAGTCTAATGATTATATTACTCACTTTCTGACCACTGACTTCATTCCTTTCCCTTCGATTCCTTTTTCTCTCTTATCTAGTGTAAGAGGGTTGAAAGGGTGGAAGAAAACTGATGGAGAAGGGTGGAAGAAAGAAGAACCCACAAAGTATCCAAAGTCTGGCTACAGAGTCCCTCCACAACCCTACTCTCCTCTATAAAAACTGATTCTCAAGCCCTGTGTAATATATTCTTCTGTATCCTTGGATACTAAGCCAAACATTTGGACCTGCTAGCCTCTCAGGTCATGCCTGCTCTCGCCATTTTGAGGTTGAACTGAGTCTGTTCTTACATTTTCCCATGATGATTTTCTTGCAGTTTCTGTTTCAGTTATCAAATAAGGTTTATAAAACCACATTTATTAGCTGTAGTCCCAGTGAACATTTAATTTTTAGATTCCTTACTGATGCAATTTTTTCCAATTTGTTTATGTGCTACTAGAGAAATTCTTGCCTGTTTTCTTTGTGCTGCTTTTTAGGGATGGGAGAGCTTTCCGTATTTCCACTGTGTCTTAGCTAGGACTGGGATTGAAGGTACTAATGAATAAAAAGGTTTCCCTACCCTTTCTCTTGATTTTTCAGGCTGTGGAGGTGGAGAGAACTTCTTGGATCACTGATTGTTGTGGCTTTCTGGCTAACTAGGCAATCCTAGGTGGCAAAGGTTAGAGATAAATGTCCTTAATTTGGTTGTTGTGGAGATTGGAGTGTTAAATGTTCACCATACTCTACATGTATAAGCCAAGTAAATCCTTTCTTCCTGAACTTACCTTTGGTTCCAGATTTTAATCAAAGCAGCAGAAACAAAACTAGAAGACTTAAATCCAAGGCCTACTCACAACTGTAAGCATAACCCCAACCCTAACCCTTAAACTAGTCCTATCCCTAGTGTTAAGATTAACCCTATCCCATGCTGACACTATAGTTCAAACTCTAGATAAAATATTTATCCTAGTCCAAGCTTCAACTATAACCCTAACCCTAATACCAGTCCAATTCCAAATGTAACCCCAAACCTACAATTAGCCAAGCTCTAGCCCTAGCACTGTCTTGAAAACAATATCTAACCTTCCTCAATCCTAATCTCAAATTTAGACCTAATCTTAAGGATAGTTTCAAATCTAAATTTAACCTTACAACCATCCTAGTTTAATTCTAAGCAAAACCCAAAGAACTACCACTATCTTTATCTCTAACTCTAACCTTAGTCTTAACCAGAACTTTAGCCTATACCCTATTCTTGTCCTAGAATTAACCCGGTTCAAAGTCACAGTCCTCTTAACCCTAACCCTAACCCTAACCCTTTTCATACCCCTAACATATACCTATTCTTAACCTTAACCTAGCGACATTAAACATTAAAGTTAATCTTATCCTAGACTTATTTCTTACCCTAACCCTGGCCATAGCTCAAACCTGATTCTAACCCAAAACTCTATCACTAATCTTAATCCCATCTCTAACTTTAACCCTAATCCTAATCATAGGCCTAAACTTCAGCTTGGGTTATACACCAAGACTGTGTTTGTCTCAAACAAACAGACAAACCCAAAAATTACCTCCCAGAATAGATGAAAATATTTATATATCTTTATAGGCAAAATTAATCCTAATCTTAAATATTACCATGAAACTAACTCTAGCCCTATCCTTATTCTAAACCTAGATCTATCCTTAGTCCTAGCTCAAAGCCTAACCCTTGCCTATAGTCCTAGACAACTATAAAATTAGCCCTAACATGAACCTTATTCCTTGCTCCAACTTTTGCCTTAGACCTAACCGTAGCCACAGCCATAATAATAACGCTAAATACAATATAGAATTAGACCAAATCCTAGGCCTAATGTTAATTGTAGCATTAGCCTTAGATGCAATTACAGCACACCAAAACTCTAGCCATAGCCTAAAACATAACCCAAAGTCTTTCTTAAAAGATTTTTATTTTATGTGTGTAAGTGTTCTGTCTGCCTAAAGAGGATGTCCAATGCCCTAAAACTGAAGTTATAGAAGGTTGTAACCTGTCATGTGGGTATATGGGTATATAGGTCCTCTGAAAGAGCAGCAATTGCTCTTAATTGCTGAGCCATTTTTCTAGCTCCCTTGAGGAAACTTTTAACCTAGCCCTATTCCTAGTAATAGTCTGAATCTCAGAACAATCATAGCCTTAAACTTGCCATATCCATATCCCTAAATGCTCAACCTAGTTCTATTTCTAGAACTGATCCAAATCCTAGTCATAGACATAGCCCTAACCCTAAACCAAGAGCAAGCACTAACCATACCTCCAAATCCCAATTGTTACTATAAACAAAACCTCAGCCCTAGTCATATGTTAGCCATAGCTATAGCATGAACCCTAACACTAACACTACACACAATCCTAGAACCCTATTCTTGGTCATCAAAGCCCTAAGCTCAACCCTATCCCCAATTCTAACCAGAAACCTAACCCAGGACTAACACTAGAATTAGTTTTATCCTAACCTTAACCAAAATCTTGAGTTTAATCCTATCTATTGTGCTGGTTGGCTTTTGCCAACTTGACACATATCTGGGGAAGAGGGAATCATGATTGAGAAATCACCTCCATAAAACAAGCATGCTGCCCCCTCACCCTCTCCCATTGAGCTCTATCTCTTTCCCTCCTGAGGAGTCCTGCCAGGCCCCAAGAACATCCAGGCCTTCCAGACCTCAGGAGTACCCAGGCAAGACCCTGCCCTGCCTATCCCCTTCCTGCAAGCTCCATCTTGGCCCATGGCTCTACCTCCCTTCCTGGGAAGGCCTGCAGGACCCTAGAAACATACAGTTCCACCTGGAGCAAAGCCAGCATTTGTGAGCTGAGTGCTGTTCCCTGAGCTCAACAGCCAGGCTCAAGGCTTTGCCTGTTTCCCTAACAAGTCTTGTTGGCATCAGAAAGATCCAGCCAACACCAGGGACAACCAGGTCACTAAAGGCCAGCATAAGAACACAACTAATAAGAACCCTGGCAATATGGTACTACCAGAACCAAGAGATTCTACCACAACAAGCCCTGGCTATCCTAACACAGCTGAACCACAAGAAAATGACATTAAATCCAAGCGTATGAACATGATAGAGGCCTTTAAAGAGGAAATGAATAAATCACTTAAAGAAATACATGGGGAAAAAAAGACAATCAAACAGGTGAAGGAAGTGAGTAAAATGGTTTGAGACCTGAAAAAGGAAATAGCAATAAAGAAAAAACAAACTGAGGGAATCCTGGATATGGAAAACATAAGGATGAGAATAGAAACAACAGCTGCAAGCATCACCAACAGAATACAGGAGATGGAAGAGAGAATCTCGGGCATAAAAGATAAGACTGAAGAAAAGAAAATGTTAGATATACAAAGTTTCTGACATAAAATATCCAATAAATCTGGGACACTATAAAAAGATCAAACCTAAGAATAATAGGAATAGAAGAAAAGACTTTTTGACTGTGGGATGGCAACCCTATCTCTCCACTTGGTGCCCTGTCTTTCTACTGCAGGTGAGATCTATAAGTTCCCTCTCTCACTGTAGGGCATTTCATCTAAGGTCCCTCCCTTTGAGACCTGAGAGTCTCTCACCTCCCAGGTCTCTGGTACATTCTAGAGGATCCCCCCACCTCTTACCTCCCGAGATTGCCTGTTTCCTTTCTTTTTACTGGCCTTTAGGGCTTCAGTTCTGTTCCCCCCTCCAATATCAGATCATGTTCCCCTCTTCCCCTCTCTGTCCCATTTCCCATCCAGATCCCTCCCTGCCCCCACCCCGTGATTGCTTTCTTCTCCCTCCCAAGTGAGATTGAAGCGTCCTCACTTGGGCCCTTTGTCTTGTTAACTTTCTTGAGTTCTGTGGGTTGTATCCTGGGTATTCTGCACTTTTTTGGCTAATAGCCACTTATTAGTGAGTACATACTATGCATATCCTTTTGAGTCTGAATTACCTCACCCAGGATGATATTTTCTAGCTCCCTCCATTTGCCTGCAAAACTCGTGATGTCCTTGTACTTAATAGTTAAGTAGTATTCCATTATGTAAATGACCCAGAATTGTTCCTGTCTGAAAAAACTGCAGGGTCAAAAATGGAGAAGAACCTGAGGGAGAGGAGGTCCAGTGACAGGTCCAAATTGGTATTCAGCTCAAGGGGAAGCCCCAAGGCCTGACACTATTACTGATACCATGGTCTGCTTACAAACAGGAAAGGCCCAACAAGCAGCTCAAAGAGTCAGATGCAGAAATTTACATCAAATTAATGGACAGAAGCTGGTGACCCCTGTGGTTGAATTAGGAAAAATCTGGAAGAAGCTGAGGAGGAGGGCGACCTTATAGGAAGACCAGCAGTCTCAACTAACCTGGACCTCCAAGATTGCTCTGACACTGAGCCATGAACCAAGCAGCATACATCAACTGATATGAGGTCCCCAACACATATACAGCAGAGGACTGCTGGGTCTTGACTCAGTGAGAGAAGATGCACCTAATCCTCAAGAGACTTGAGGCTCCAAGGATTGGGGAGGGCTGGTAAGGTGAGAGTGGGGGATGGGGACATCATCTTGAAAACAGGGGTGTGGGGGAAGGTATGGGATGTTGAACAGTCAGAGGGCAAACTGGGAGAGGAATAAAGACTTAACTGTAAAAAATGATTAAAGAATAATAATAATAAAAAGGAGAAGACTTCCAGCTCCAAGGCCCAGAAAATATTTTTAACAAAATCATAGAAGAAAACTTCCCCAATCTAAAGAAATAGATGTCTATAAGCATACAAGAAGGTTACAGAACACACCAAATAGATTGGACCAGAATAAAATAATCCTCCTGCAAAATAATAATCAAAACATTAAATGTACAGAAGAAAGAAAGAATATTAAAAGCTGCAAGGGGGAAAGGACAAGTAACATATAAAGGTGCGAGCACACAAACACACACACTACTGCTACTACCACCAACATCAAAATAATAGGAATCAATAATCATTGGTCATTAATATCTCATCATCAATGGACTCCATTCCCCAGTAAGACACAGGCTAACAGAACGGATGCAAGAACAGGATCCATCATTCTGCTGCATACAAGAAACAAACCTTAATAGTAATGATAGACTTTACCTCAGAGTAAAAGCCTGGAAAAAGTTTTCAAGGCAAAAAACAAAAACGAAAACAAAAACAAAAAACAAACAAAAAAAAAGAAACAGAACCAAGAAGCAAGCTAGAGTAGTCATTCTAATATCTAATAAAATAGACTTCCAACCAAAAGAGATTGAGGAATGTAGACTCATATTTTTTCATAACCTGCTTTAATATATGTACTTAAATGGTTTAACCTCCCTTCCAGCCCATCACCCACCAGAGGTAGTGGAAAGGAAGGGTTAATACAGAAAAGAAGGATATGGACCTGTTTAGAAGTATTTCTTTGGGATGAATCCAATCTGTGTTGTTAGGATATCAGCAATTCAGTTCACATGAATCACCAGTGGTAGCTCAAGCCACTTGCAAACAGCAATGGCAGTTTGATCCAGAAGAAAACCTCTGAGACTCTGTCAATTGGCCAGAGTCCACTGAAGCTGCAAGAGGCCACTGGAACACCACCAGGAGTTCTTTGGTGTGTTTCTGTCTATAAAGAGAAATGATGATCAGTGAA